AAATAACAAGTTCATGCGATTAGCACCTTATCTGCTTATTGCATAGTTCAACAAGTTAACCCCAAACCACGTCTTTCATTTATTAATCGGAGTGTTCTGGTTGCCGTGGTTGGGTTAACTTCCGTGCTATACTTTCCGATTGGTTGCAAATTCTCACTATCAGTTAGGCCATACGAAGTAGATTCTTTGTTTTGCGTCCTGGCAAATTCCAAATCATGCAAGGGTACAAGGAAAACAAACACAAACCCAAGAAAAAACACAAACTTGTTTGCTGAGAAATGTACACATTTTATGGGCATAAAAGGGATGACATACAGTGATTACAAACACATATCTATACATTTTATACAATATATTTAAACATACATGTAGGTATTATTCAAGGGTACAAAACAAGAAAATACACAATGTATGCCAAAGTAATCAATAACGCTGTCAATTTTGACGCACGCCAAATTATCTGCTATTTCGTCTGATACTGATTGAACAAGATGCGATGGTACTTTCAGACCCTTGTGATTGCTATTTGGATGTGTTTGTTTTTTCTGATTTACTCCATATCGTGCAAGCAAGGGGACGCAAAACAAAGAATCTACTTCTTATGGCCTTATTAATAAAACGCGCATGTAATTTAATGCGCCACTATTAAAAGTTTTTGCATTAAGGGCGGAATAGGAACGGACGTTAAACCTAGAGTACCTAGGGCGGGCCACAAGATATGTCAGATAAGAAATAAGGCCCAGACTAAGTTTAACTTGTTGATCTAATTATTGCAATGTTATTAGCCTAAGCTTACCTGTGTTCCTCACAAAAAGAACCAAGTTCCTGCGATAAGTCCAATTAAACTTAGCGGCCTACAGTGTAAGGTCCTGGTGCCCAGTCAATACTTCAAGCCCTTGGGGCTACAAACTCTAATGTCAATCTATAGAGCTGGCTTTCAGTCAAATAATAAGCGGGTCCCAGGAAGTTAGTCAATGTCCATGCTTGGCTTGTCAGTCTTTAGTAGGCCGATTTCTGGCGCTGAACCCATGTTTATTGAAACAAGGAACATTAGTTCTCTGAGATACAATAGCATTGATTTTGAAATAAATTTATGAATTTCTAATATGTTCCTCACTTCAAAAAGGGGTACTTTTTGGGGAAAGTGCCGCCGATTGAATCTGGCAGCCTAAATGGAACAATGAACGGCGAGTGAGGTCGGTGCCATGATGTCAGAATAATATCAGGCGATATATAACTTACTTCTAAACAATAAAATAAACTTGGTAGTCCGTCTTGCCCCACGGCCCTTCTTACCCCACTGTCCCGGCCCAGTGGAGGTGGGTGGCCGGAGGGGTCGGTCTCTTTTTTAGCATAGGGTGTTGATATGTTACGGTCCTATATATAGTAGTCTAAGATTTCTACAAGGACGTTGGTTTCTGTAACTGACATCAATCAAATTAAGTAACCCAGTTTTCAACGTAAGTTACGTGGACGCGATCACTGATTAATTACATGTTGAAGTGTGATCCTTGAATTGTTTTGAAAGTACAATGGAAGGGTATGCAACTCTGTGTTATAAATATGATAACTTCAAAATAAGCAGTGCCATGCTTCCCTTTTTTGAAAATATTTCAAAGAGTTTTAGATAAACGTATATGTTTAAGTATTATCTCGGAAGAAAAATCAATTTTGAATATGACTAAGCGTAAAACATGTTTAATCTCATTTAAACCCAAGGCAATACATGGTAAACTTTTGATCAACTTTGAAAATTATTATTAAATTTTGACGGAATGATCCACCAAAGTGTTGGCGAACGCGAGTTTTGGAGTCGCGCACCACATTTCCACGCTCTCGCACGGATCTCTGTTCGCGAGTGGAGAAATACATGTTCGAGACCGAGGAAGTGGTGGTGCGGCGACTAAAGATTTCTCGTTCGCCACATGAGAATCGTGGTTCGAGCGCAAGGAACGTAGTTCGCGAGTTCAGAACTGATGTTCGCGTTGTTGGACTTCAAGTATACAGTATTTAGAGGTTATGTCACTATGACGTGAAATATGCCGGAGTTCTCCCAATATAGGCCGACCTTGGGAGGCTCTATATTTGGGCAAGAACGAAGGCATATTTCACGTCAAAGTGACATAACTGATGTATTACATGCCTTTGTTCCCATGGTTACTTTGTATCAATGACGTGACGTCATGATATTATCATGGTTATTAAAGAAATCTAATATCAAAACGAGGTAAGCGGGCTATATCGGGGTAATCGGGCAATATCGGTGGATATAGCTCGCTAACTTTCCCATTGACTTCCATACAAATGCTTCGCTAGGTATGTAATACACATGTATATTATTACACGGCACATTCTTGTTTCATTACGGACTTTACCGCCAAGTAGTAGAAGAGATGAATGCTGTATAATTTTATCAAAACTCATTCAAGGGATTTAAAAAACCTAAATTGTTTAGAGACTGGGAAATTAAATAACGCACAAACCTTAATAAAAATCCGTCAAAATACTTTCACAGAATAGGAATAAAATTACGTACATTCAGAATAGTTTGTCACACTCTCAGCATCAAACTCTAAAATGTACCATTTCTTTTTTAACTTTTTAATGGCATGATATAGTGACACGATAATATTAACATATGTTTTCAGCATAACTCGGAATGTATTAATGAGATAGCCTAGCGTTTTGGGTCTTTTTAATTTTTTTTTAAAAATCGCTGTGACGGAGCAGTTTCACAGCTCACATTTGGAACTGCTCGGTCACAGCAGACAAAAAATTTAACATTATTTTTCATAAAATAATTAAAAAGACTCAATACATAAACATCTCCTTAATACCTTCATAGTTATTTAACATTATTTTTCATAAAATAATTAAAAAGACTCAATACATAAACATCTCATTAATACCTTCATAGTTATGCTGAAACATGTAAATATTATCGTGCCATTAAAAAGTTAAACAAGAAATAGCACATTTTGGAGTATGGTACTCCGGCGCCATTTTCAATAACTTTTCCTCTCAGCGATATTGGATTTGAAACAGAAGTGAAAGTTACCCACAAATGATATATCCATTGCATGGAGTAAGTATACTTTTTTTGGTATAACGAAACATATGAGTTGGAAATAAATCGTGTGGTTTTTTTTATGAAAAATAACATGCTCCGTCACAGCGGACAAATCTTTCGATACCAGGCTGTGACTATACTTTAGTGTAATAATTTAACAAGGTGTTAACGCCACTCCATCTTGCATTCTTATTTGCATACTGTACTCCACCTGGTATTTTTCCAAGCAACTCAAATGGTTACGAAGTAAACTCAACACTAAAGGTCTAGCGTGCAAAAAAGTTATATCCATTTTTTGGAAGAAAGTGTATAAATATCCCATGGTCGATTTTTACTCTCCGACCACTGACCGATCCGCCTTTTCTTTGGTCGGTGGTCGGTCTTTTAGTGTAACCCAATAAGCTGTGTTCCTCAGATTAACTGTTATCACTTTTGTTCGTGGAACACCTCTGGAAATGGAACACTTCAGAGACCCAAAATATAAAATCTCATGGGAATTTTGCCTACAACACGTGGAATAATGAAAAAAGAAAAATCGTACCTTCGAGGTTCGCTATTTTGTTATCGAAATGGTTCGTTTCGGTAACCATCGTAATCTAGTAGATCACCAGTGTACCATACGAGTAAAAGTGTCTTAAGACAGTGTGCCATGTTTAGGAGTATTCACATATGGAATATGAACAAAATTGCCGCCTTCTAGTCAACTTGTCATAAAACAGTGTGCCATACTTATGAGCATTTACATATTAAATATTAACAAAATCCTTCAACTAATTTTCAAGGTACAGCAAAAAATTGTAAAATAACGAGTAAAGGCAACCATTTTTTAAAGATGGCTGCCATGTGTTTCTTAATTATCTACATTTACTGTAAAAACAATTACTGTAAAATCGAGCAGCCATTTTTAAACCATTTTCGGGCAAACGGTAATTGTTATTCGATTTATCGCCTGGACAGACAGAGGCGTCTCCTATTATCCTATATTATAATGCGTCTAAAAACAATATGAACTATAAAACACAACAAATGTAAATCAGGACTGAGATGTTTTGAATGTTTACAGAAAAAGCTAACTAAATGAAGCCACCAAACAAGAGCACTGAAATGAATTAAAGTAGGTCTGGGTATAACTTAATATTCCTAAAACATTCCATGATTAAAAATAGAAAATATGTGGAACCTAGAACTTACATCACCAATAATAGTCTCTTATTGCAACCTGCTGCGTATCTGATTTTTGGCTAAGTTTTTGAGTATTTCATTTGTTCATGGCATGGGTAAGAGTTGATCTAAGTCACTTTGCTTACTAGTCATAGTAGTATTTACACCTTTTCAGGAATCATAAACAAGGCATTAACGTGCGCCATCTGCACATTAAGTGTCACAACCTGTTGCTTGTTACATATGCCGACTGCTGAACACCATCCACAGCAAAGTTGGAGACTATCAAAATATGTCACCACTTGTGGTGGTGACATAATAACACCACGTGTATGGTGGTGACATAATTAGGAACAGTCAAATCAGAAACCATGTGTTCAAATGTTAATTTATTCCAATTTTCACATGACTACTTGACTGTAGAACCCAGCATATGTAAATAACAAACCCATCTCTGATGACATGACTACTTGCATCAAAAGTTACCAGTTAACTGATCTGCAGTAGCAGCTGCTTCAACAAATAACATGACTATCTGCAACAATTATTGATCTGCTATTCCAAATGACATGACCATCTCCAAGACTGCTACACAGTTCTATATTTGCACCCCAGCTATTCCAAATAACAAATGACAGCAACCCAGCTAACTGATATAAGGATGGTCACAATTCTACCATGTCTACAGCGAATTTTCTTTACTGCCCAGCAAGAACTTTACTGCACAGGAAATACCCCACTGCATAGCAACTTTACTGCTCTGCACAGCTTATACCCCACTGCACAGCAACTTTACTGCACTGCACAGCAAATAGCCCACTGCACAGCAGCTTAACTGCTGCTCTGCACAGCTTATACCCCACTGCACAGCAACTTTACTGCACTGCACAGCAAACACCTTACTGCATTGCACAGCAAACACCTTACTGCATTGCACAGCAAACACCTTACTGCACTGCACAGCAAACACCTTACTGCACAGCACACACCTTACTGCGCCTAAAGCACATAGAAGAATTCCAATAAATTTAATGTACAAGATGTACTATATATACCTTTATTCTGTTGATACTTATTTACAAACATTATTTTTTGCAAAATGTAATTACAATTACTAAGTACTTCATGGATTTGATTTTTTGGAAAAGTTTAATGAAATGCCATTGGAAATAATTTTGACAACAATCATTAGATGCCAAATTCACAAAACTTGTGGCTCAATGATTGGATTATAGTCTTGAGAGTTAAATTTGATGTCTGATGAAAAACAAGACAAAAATGTTAATGTGATACAGGCCTACATATCCCACTTACTGTAGAATTTTACAAAAATAATTATTACTTGTATACATGTTTATATAAAATCGTCTTATATTTCTGCTTCAATACATGCCATAATGAAAAATGTAATGAGGTTATTTATGATATAATAATGAAAAATGAGAAAAATTGTAAAATACATTTATAAAAGAACTGCAAAGATCATATCTATATCTCTTGTCTTACAGTATTTACTTATCATCATTGTATCAAAACTACTTTAGACGTTAAAATCAGTGTCACTAAAATTTTGCAACCAAAGCTCTAGCTTAGATCATTGTTAAATCTGAATAGTAACCTTTTCCAAATCTTTGCAGAAATGTCATTGATGGACTCCTCTCTCAGGAGCATATGTTATTTCATCTCCAAAGATCCTTTTCAGATTAAGACCTGGACCTAGAACGGGATCTGCGTGGGGAGCGAGATGGTGATCTGGACTTGTAGGGAGATCGGGAGTCACTTCTATCTCTGCGGTCCCTGCTCCTGGATCGACTTCTGGATCTGGATCGACGCCTCCTTGGTGACCTTGAGCGGGACCTGGAGTATGATCTGCAAAAACACAAAACTTAAGTGAAAAAATAGTACTGGGCTCACATGGTGTTGCTTAAAAAAAGAAAAGCGAACGAATTATCTTGTTGAACTACTTTTTACAGTGTCATGTATTTTTACAATGCAGGACACCTGATATTATTTATACAGCTACTTAATGGTCAAAAAGTGAATTTTTCATGACTAAAATGGTGGCCTCTTTGAAAATCAAAATAGGTGAGCAAGAACTCTCAGGAGGGACTTCTGTATTGAAGTTAGAGGAATCCTATTGACCCAGGTGTTAGAACATGCCACAATATTGTTGACTGACTGAGAGACAGATGGACAAAACAATTAAAATGGCTGACAATAAAAAAAAGATATAACTTTTGCAGATTTTTTAAGAAAATGATTTCTTAATATCACTGTTTACCTGTTTACAGTGGTATAGGTTTTTAAAATGCAGAATACCTGAAATCATTTATAAAGCTACTAAATGGGTCGAAAGGGAATTTTGTGAGAAAAAATTGTGGCCATTTTGGAAAAAAACATGGAGTTTTTGAACCAGGCGTCATAGGAGGATTTCTGAATAAAAATAACTTAAAACGGGAATCCTGGACAGAGGTTTTAAAATGTGGACTGACTGAGAGACATATGGACAAATCAGTAATAACTATAATGGCCGCAAATAATAAAATAAAAGCGGATATAATAGTAATTTTTGCGAGACAAATTGGTTGGCCATTTTTAAAATAGGCAAGCTTTTGAACCAGGAGATATAGGGGGGTTTTCTATACTGATGTTGAACAAAAATAACTTAAAACGGGAATCCTATTGACAGAGGTTTTACAACATGCCACTATTGTTGACAGACTCAGCTAAAAAATATACCATAAAAGTACAAAAAAGTCAGCAGAACATTTTCACGAATTCCTGACTTTTCCCTGATTTCTGCATTCTATTTTTTAAATGATGAAAAGCCTAGTAATATCCTATCATTTGAACCAATGAGAAGTTTATTGAAAATATGCACTTTTCTGAACAGTTTTTACTGTTTTTTCAATTTTTATTCAATAATTAATTCAAAAAGGCCAATTTCTTGGGACCCTTAAAATTTTTTCTGGGCCTACCCAAAGGGGGAATAAATAAGGAATATTAGATTTGTCAGATCAGAATTGAAGTTTTTGATGAAGACAACATTTATTAATACTAATAGAGTCGTCTAGCAATTTATTTCTAGGCAAATCATATCTAATCTACATTTTCAGATGCCTAAATTCCTATTTCAATATGTTTAAGTTTTTTATTCCTATAGTGAGTTTAATCATATTATTGATAGGGTAAACAAAGTTGAGACTAAGTTGAGACTAAGACATCAAAAGATCAAATTGTCACCAAATAAGCTATATATTTTCAATTAGGGGAGGGGGGATCTGGAACCAAAAAATAAGCTTCTCTGACATTGATATCGGGGAATTGCATCAGCTATTTTTATTTAAGCATGCCTCCATATTGAAAATATTTTGGATGTTTTTCAAATTTTGAACTTCTTATCCACGATTTTACCAATCACAAAACTGCCTGATTCGTTACCTTCTTCTCCTTCTATAAGAGTCTCCACCTCTACCCCTGCCTGGGTCACTTGGACGACCATATCGTGCAATCTGAACTCTTAATTCCCGTCCATCTACGATTGCACCATCCATCTCATCCATTGCATCTTCAGCATCTCGTTTGTCATAGTATCGCACAAAAGCAAATCCCCTGCTTTCCTTTGTACGGCGATCTCTAGGAATGTAAATATCACCTGAAAAAAAAACATAAATCTATAGGCCTAGACTTAAGTTTAATGCAGGGCTATATTATTTTACCTTTACAGTGATCTCCCAAGCATTAAAGCAGGTGGGTGCTGCACCCACTTGAAAATCCATTTGCACCCACTTGAAAATGAGAAAAATCTTGAAAAATTGGCATCTACCCGAGATAAATTTTGGGGAGATCACTGCTTTTTATCACAATGTTCTTATGATTATTGGCATTATTATGCTGCCTTTTGGCTGGTTTACAATTCACACTTGATGCTTTTCCCTTTTACTAAAGGAGAGAGGGCTTATTGATATGCCTGTACACACATGGCTAAAGGCCATTGCATTGTTTCATTTTCATCATTAAAACCTAAAAAAAGAAGACCACAGTGCTGTAATAATAAATGGAATATGTATATATTGTTCACAAATGACATTTGTTTATTTCAAATCAATTTGTTATATTTGCAGTTAGCCTGTTAAGCAGTGACTTACAGACAACACCCCATGCAGACAAAATGACACTATGATGCGAGACTTGACATTCACCAGGAATGTAGAAACATTTTTTCATTGTTTTCACACATTCAATTTTGTCAATTTTGCGGGGAAGAAGACCAATATGGGCAGAATAATCTCTAGTTTCTGATTGGATTAAAATCAGTACCCACAAGTGGGAACGAAAGTTAAAACCAATCTGATTATTTGAATAGTATACGCGCATGAATAAAATATATCAAAAATAAGAAAAAAAGGCAAATCACCTCCACATTCATGGGATAAAGGAGTAGAGTGAACAAAAGAATGAGGATTCAAATAATTTTTCGAAAATCATTTAGAATTCCAACATGACCAGGCTCTTATTGAATTTCTCAACCAATCAGAATGCAGCATAGCCAATAATGGACGTTCATTATTTCTCCATACATGCACAACCGTTTTCTATTCGATCTGCTTCCGGGAATCTACATCGTACATGTTTTGTGTTGTTTTATGACGTTACTGTAACATTAATTGCTTGTTATTGAAAGATGTCACTGCAATGTATGATATGTAGTCATAATAAGTCACTTGATACCACGAGGGGGAGAAGAGCGCAGCCATCTTGGGATTGACTATAAGAAAATAAATATATTTTGTATAGAGTCTAATAAATATACTTTTGAACAATAGACTGTGTAAGGAACGTTAACCTCTTGAATCCTAGGCTCTAAAATTGGCATGAAACCAGAGAATTTTTCATTTTTTGCCACCTTTTGACATTTTATTACATACCTATACAACTTTAGATGCTCAGCTTAGTAAAATTGGACGGCAGAGATCATTTCTACACGTTTTAAAACAATTTTTGTGTAAATTGGATGAAAATTGTTCAAATGAGAGCAATTTTTGTGAAAAATTTTGTGACGGATTTTCTCGTCACTCTGGGCACCAGTCTTATTTCATTTGTGACGGATATATCCGTCACTCTGGGTATTCAAGAGGTTAAGCTTACAGTTACATACCCTGCGTGCAGAGTCTAGTTAAACTACACTCTGCCTAGTAGAGACTATATTACAGTTTAGTAGCCCCGCCCCCACGACGGGTACCGGTGACAGTTTGGGTAAATCACTTTTGACCTACGTGCTGACCTTCCACCAATCAGCGAGCTTGAAGAAACAAGCGCCAAATGCGTTCTAATCAAATATGCGCATGTCATTGGTCAATTCCGGGCTCAACGATGACGTCAGAAGGAATGACCATATAAAAAACGTCGGTCAAATTTGGCGAACGAACACTGATTGGCCCGGTGAGTTCACAGGTTTATTTTAGTTTGAAAGAGTGAAGACGAAGCTCTCTTTTAAGAAGTGAAGTCAAACGTGGGAATGGCGAAAAATGACAGCAAGTTTGGTTATTTCATTGACCTCAATCCCCAATTCTCTGAACAAGGTTTTCTTTTTTATGTTTGATTCGGATTAATGATATTGATAGGCCATTCACGAGTGGGACTGTCAGTCACAAGAGAAAAGCACCATTGAAAAATATTGAAAATATGAAACTCACCAACTTCACCAAATTTATCAAAGTGCCTTTTCAGGTCGTCTGGGTTGGTTCTGTAAGTTAAATTATCAACTTTAAGGGAAATCATCCCGTTGGTATCGGGTGGACCACGCCCTCCGTAGCTCATCCTTCTTGGTATTTCACAAATCGAGTAAAATCTGCGCGGATCGTTTACCCACGCTCACAACAAAAATGGCGGTTTAAATGGTGGATGCTACGTTGCAATGAAGAACATTAAATAATTGCCTTTTAAAAAGTGTACGTTAAATTTTGATTGTCTTTACCAGCTCTCTAGATTATGATTATTCACATATTTTTGTAATAATTACTGTCAGAAATCACTGAATTGTCCATTATCCATTAAGTAAAAGACCAATAAGACGAAACAAAAATAGTCATTTTCCCCAAAAATTCCGAACATGCCTGAATTGTTTTGTTAGAGTTTTTACCGCACACAAAACCGTTTCGCCATTTTACTTGTGAGAAATATTATCTACGAAGATGAGTTACGGACGTGGTCCACCTGACACAAGTGGGATGTTTTCCCTAAAGGTCGACAATCTGACGTACAGGACCACACCCGAGGAATTAAAGAGGCATTTTTCAAAACACGGCGAAGTTGGTGAGACAAATTGAAATTCATTGTCGATTGTGTTGTTCATTTGGAATTGATTTGTTTTCCCACGTTTTCCTTTATGTTAGCCTAGTCTCACAGGAACCTGCATCAACAACTGACAGTGATATCTATTGGTGATCAAACCACGGAAATAACCCTATACCTCTTAAAGCTCTATAAGAGATATTTTCCTGGGGTTCTGTCACCAAGCTATCGAGTACGGTCACAGATAGCAGAATTTTTGAGACCTTGCATTGCAAGACTTACGCCTGGCGTAACCGTCACCATGTTATTCGGTGTTTTTTAAGTAGCCCAAGGATCCTGCCATGACCGTGGTAATGTTATCGTGAAAGCCTGGTATAACCGCGACAATGCTGTATTATATTAAATGCCTGCCATGACCGTGGTAGTGTAATCGTGTAAGCCTGGCGTGACCGTAACCTTTATATGACATTAATGACCTTCATATTTCGCCCGTTGCTGTTGGTATTTTTTATGGAGAAATCTTGTTAATTGATCATTATAGAAAGTATATGCTTTCGAATCAAAGCTCCTTGAATGAGAGTAGAGATATAGTTTGTTCGCAAATTATTTAAAAATTAGGTTTGCGTTGTGAAACTAATACACATATTTAGTAGTCTTTATTTACATATTTAAGGTAGTTAAACACGAAGAAAAATTGTCATTACGGTGTTCTCATGCTACTTTAAATACAACCACGGTCATGAGAGGCCTTGCAACTATTGTCACGGTCATATCAGGCTTTAACCTTACCACGGTCATGACAGGCTTTAACATTCTGACGGTCATGACAGGCCTTGCAACCATTGTCACGGTCATGGCAGGATCCTTGCGCTACTTAAAAAACACCGAATAACATGGTGACGGTTACACCAGGCGTTAGTCTTGCAATAGATAGCATGTGGAATTTTTCTTAGGAAATAGATCTACATCCTAAATAAATACAAAGTGAGGAAGGCTTTTTGAAAAAAAAATGGAAAAAAAATTCTTCTGGGTTTATAAATTGCAAATTGTACATCATAAATCAATACAGATTTACGATTAACAGGGTTGAAGGCTTGAATTAACAATGAAAACTTACCGAAAAAGGATGGCAGTATTGTCAGGTCTTCGAAGATTGTTGGAGAGTTTGAAATATTGATCGTTGTTCTTCGCATACGGCACTGGCAGTATACAGTGGGCGTAAAGGGACTTGCGTCAATGTGTACCACCTTCGTTTGCGCAAATTTTCACCAGTTAGTTTTTGAATATAACATGTTGTTGTGATGTTTAATCGATGCTAACATATCCCTCACATCTTTACCTTGGTGTGAAATAACAAGCTATGATATTGATTAACATGCCAGAGATTGAAATAATATTATTCGAAGCGTTATTAGAAAATTTTGAACCGCCATATTTGGACCAATCAGGACGGTATGACATCTCAATACTAGTGGAACAAGTAAGTTTTTAAAACATTTTGCTGTTTATTCAGTATCACGAGGCTCAATTATGACCAAGAACAAAGTGAATTTGTTATAAAAAGACCGTAGAAAACAATGGTTTCATAAGGAGTAGTATTATGATAGAAGAGATATCGGACTTTCAAAAACCGAAAGTGAAATTATATCCATTTTCTCCAAGAAGCCTGCCTCACTTTGTATTTCTTTAGGATGTATTTTCTTAAAAAAATTCTGCCATCTGTGAGTCAGGTGTTGATAGAGCTAGAGGTTCCTGTGCCTTAGTCATATAAATCTGACCCTCGTATGATGTTATTTCAATTTGTTGTTATTTTTTCTGATTTGGATATTTATCTTTTCTTATTTTCTTGCATACGAGGACCGTATATGCTATGAAAATGATAAAAAATAAATATCCAAATAAGAACAAGGATTATCGAAGAACAGCATACAAGGTCCGATTTATATGACCACTGTGCTTCGTCTAAGCTATTAGACATCTATGCTGCTTATGGTCTCTACTTACCAGTATTATTATTGATACACTGACGGATCTAAAAGCTAACAAGTGGGGGGGGGGACATTGCAAGTCAGGAAAAAGAATTTGGGCCCCTAGGCCCTTAAACTTACTTACTCTCTAAAAACCTTGGTGTCTGATGATCAAAAAATCCATTTATTCTCTTATTTGGCCTTATTCTTAAGTTTTCCCTCCATATATAATAAGTTTGGCCGATGTCAGTTCATCATAGGAAATTGAATAGAAATCCCCTTCTCTCATATCACGCAAATCATTTCTCCCTTGCATTCGTCTTACATTCCAACATGGAAGAGATTCTAAGAAAATGACGTCATTTAGATCAGAATGATTTCCCCGAAATGGGAGGAGATTCCATAAATTTTGTCAAGAGTTTGAACTTCTATGAACTCTGACGTCATTAAGACCAGAGAAAATTTTCTGAAGAAAATGACTGAGTTTCTTACAGCATTTGGATCCAGTTTCAAGTATCACTATTACTAACTATGGAATAGACACACATTTGACTTCAAAAAATAAGGCAAGTACATGTTTGTAAGTAGACCAAATGATTCAATTGAGGCATTTCAACTTTTTCTAAAAATTGATTTTTTGACCGTCGGACAGGAAGGTGTTTATTACATGTTTAGAGAGTAGGCTAAGAGACTTGAGTAACCTAAAACCATAGGCCAAGGGAAAAGTAATGGTAAGCTGAATACACAGCTAACTATAACTTTTCCCTTGGCCTATGCCTAAAACCAAAAATTGGGCCCAAGTTTAGGCCTATTTTTTATGATTTTGCCTAAAAAAGGCCAATTTCTCGGGCCCTTAAAATTTTATGGGGCCTTCAATTTTTTTCTTGGTCTACCCAAAGGGGTTAGTCTACACTGTTGCTCATAAATATATGGTGCCCATGTGGTCTCTAAACTAATGCACACTGTGAAAGAGCAATTAGCATAAATACATATATTTAAATTAAGATATTACCATAGAGTAAGACAAGAGGATATAGTCTAAGGAGGGGGATAGACTGTATCCTTTGTGATATGTCCTCCCGCGCCCTAAGTTACAGTGTGGAACCCAGCCAAACATGACAGTGTAGTATTCTCAGGAAGAAAAATTGAATAGAAATGTAACCAATGATAATGGTAAAAAAATATTTCCATTTGTCGTCGAAAGCTGGCACTACTAGTAGTTCATTCAGAACTCTGAATGAAGAACTTCCTATTATCGGTGGATTTAGACTATTACACATAAAACTTATTATCTGTAATATGAATTAAATGTATTCAGCGCTCTCAACCGGAAATATTTGGGATGCGAGGGAAATATGTCCGGCATGGCCGTTCATTGGTGATAAATCACAGTTATATTTGATCTTTTTTACATGCTATAATTGCGTATTCAGTCAAGTTTAGAGTGTTGAAACAATCAAGATTTGCCAATATTTTTGTATGATACTGACGATAATGCATTATGGTCTTTACATTGCTTATTTTTAGGTTTTATTGATGCACAAGTACAACCCTTGTCTACTATAGAGGGTCCAGTAACTTTCTTTTAGAAACAATAAGAAAAAACACCATTTATTTTTCAACTCAGATGTTTGGTTATACTGAAGAAAGTAACTTACTCCATGCAATGAGTACACTGCTATTTCAATAACGCCGTCCAAGTATTGCAAAAACGTAATGAAAAATCCATGGACCCGGAAATAAAAAGTGATTGCGTTTTGTGGACGCAGTGCAAGCCATACTCATACAATCAACTTTGGATGAATGATTTGATAAAGATCTTACCTTCAGTCTCTTTATTTCGTCAGAATCCAATAAATAATTGAAGAAAATTCTATTTCTAAAAGAAATAAAATTTTCTTTCGAAATTTCCTTCCCGGAAGTTGATTTCTGATCGAAATAGTACGAGGCATGTGATAGGACAAAAATTTATACAATACTCGATTTCCGAGCAGTAATCAGTATGAGTCCTACGATTGGCCGGTAGCTTAAGACCTGATTCAAACCATTTTCAATTGGTCAAGTGTGATCACGTGATCATTATTTGAGACTGCATATGCGCAAGAAACCAAGGAGGATTGGCTCCCAGGATCGAAACTCGATATTTTCCAACAATGAAAACGTCGAAATGTCGTTATTTTCTGAAATTAAGACCGACTATAAATTCAAAATAAACAGTTCAAAAGATTCGAACCAATATCTCGATCATTTCTTGTGAGTTTTGGAATTTTTCGTTTGGAAATAAGACCAAAATTCACGATTTAAATGTTGAAGTGAACAAAATGGCGGCTGTTTGAATTCGAATTTTGTATTACGACATACCCATATATGGGACAGAATATCGGTGGTGCACTCTGGGAGCCAATCCTCCTTGCAAGAAACTGAACTAAAAAGTTGAACCTCGCGCAGATTGCCCCTAAACTAAACATGCTAAAGCAAAATCAATAGCAAATTGTTTCGAAATTGGCAAGGAAAAGGTGTTTTAAATGGGAGAATATAAGTTATGATGGTATCTGTATCATTCAATGACATACTAGACTTGCAAGAACGCTGATTCAGACCGATAAATAGCAAAAGCAGTGGTACAAAATTTCATCAATTTATTTCATCCAGTGTAAAAACGTGACTTTTGAATTCCCGGGAACATTTTTTCAAGGGACGCAGTTTTTTGAAGGGAGACGCATTTTTTGAAAATCATTACGTCCAAGGGACGCAATTTTGGACAAGCCTACTGAAAACACTGAGTACAGTATATCAATTGCGGATGACCTTCACTTCTATTTGAAGTCCAATAACACTAGTTCAAACAAGTCGTTGAAAATGGCGCTAGCGTATTATAATCTAATTTGTACATTTTCCTTTAAATGTTTCAGTGGTGACTTGACAATATTTGCATTCATCAACTCAACATTCATAACTCTGAAGTATTGTACTGAAGTCCCGTTATTATTTTTTATAAAAAAATTTTGTAAAAAAAAATAATGTGAATTACTATTTCTCTTATGACTATCAGATACAGCCATCTTTACCCCATGCAAGATGTAGTGGTTCTTGTATGACATCATAACAATTGAAATGTGAAGTTCAATTAATTCGAAGCTAATTTTCACTCAGTTTTATCATAAAAAGGTGAAAAAATGGCATAATATACTGAGTCTAATGAGAAAATCTTTCATGTACCTTCTTGTACTCGTACCTCTGCAATATCATCCATTCTTGACTCGCGTCTCGCATTGATAATGTTTTTTTAAGAAGAATTATCAAAGCTCATCAAGAATGGATGATCTTGCAGACGTACTCATACAAGAACCTCTATATCACTGTCATATTCTCCAGTCTCTAGTTAGTCGATACAGTGCATCCCCAAAAAATGCAACGAGCAAAAAAATTGTAAAATCACAAAACCAGTGATGATTAAAATTCCTAGGGAGATTACTGAAATGTATTCATTATTTGAAACAATATCCAAAAATGACACGCCCATCGTTAAATTTGGCAAATTGTCCATAAGAAAACCTGTAGATTGAAGCTTGTTAAATTCTAAATCCTTTCGTTGCAGGAGATATTTACATTCCAAGGGATAGACACACAAAAGACAGCCGAGGGTTCGCCTTTGTACGATATTATGACAAACGTGATGCTGAGGAAGCTATGGACGATCTTGATGGCTTTGTTTTAGATGGTCGAGAATTGCGAGTCCAGATGGCACGGTATGGTCGCCCAGCTGAATCAGGCAGAAGAGGTGGGGATCGTGGTCGAGACCGTGACCGTGGAGGTTACGGAAGAAGGAGGTATTCTTAATAATTAGTGTAATTACTCACAAATATAGGTAGTTTTAATATGGAAATATATTTTGAAACAATGTTAAAGTAACATATACATCTATATTACATGTACAATAAAAGGGTCGTTATACCACAAACTCTCAAAGCGGTTAATAATGAAACCAAATAAAGACTAGTAATGGTTACTCGCTACTTTTACTAGTCTGTGACACTGGTTACCCAAATTATCTGAGTAATCCTAATCGCTCACAACGAATACCCTATACTACCTACTGGCTGTGGGAACACTGTGTTTCCATCTGAATTAACTAACTCACTAACTCTTCGTTCTGCAAGTCCTAACACTTAACTATATTCTAATAACTCATGAACTAAAGTTAACCTATAATGGTTGCATACTTAAAATGCTATGAATACATATGAATGCATAAATACTACTAAGAGTTAAGTTTCAAGCTATAATATCTTATTAAGACATAATAACCCATAAAAATGTGCATATATCAGTCAGAATGTTGCTGATTCAATGTTAATAATCAGACAAGGTATATTGGGACACCCTGTAATGATATAAGCGATATTCTAATGTTTGCTGGTAACAGTTACTCTAATCGTCGCTCCGGTACAATGAAGGCTTTGATTTGTTCAACTACTTAACTCAGCACAATCCTACTCTATAGCAACCAATTGACTGCTCAATCTGGCCTTCTGTACAAATGGTCAAAGTTTACTGTACCACTCTATAATAACTCAAATATGTCGATCATTGAATCATACGCCATCATAATGCTCAATGTATCATGTTACACTCTATAATGATATTGTGCTGGTATGCTAGTATCTTAGGCTCCTATATGGTCGCTCTGGTACATATTCTGTCTGGTTCATACTGTAATTAATGATCACGGCAAATTGTAACTCCAATAACTACTAGTGCCAATCAATTAATGCTATAACACCATAATAGTCAATGTATATGGGAATACTCTGTATCGATAATCACTGAAACTCATTCTGGTCTCCAGTTCACGCATGAATAGTGAACACTGTTAATATACACTATGAATGCTACTGAAGCACTATAATTACTAGTGCCAATCAATTTAATCGTATAATACCATAATAGTCAATGTATATGGGGATACTCTGTAACAATATCTTTCTATAAATCACCAATACTCATGCGGGTCTCGTGTTCACGTGTGAATACTGGACACTGTTATTGTTACACTAGGCAAATCAGTTAATGTTACAAAACTACATCTATGAGCACCCTGATCACATACTATAAATCGTGACGATATCTTTCTATAAATTGCCAATACTCATTCGGGTCTTGAGTTCACTTGTGAATACTGGACACTGTTAATACACACTTTGATTGTTACGCTAGGCAAATCAGTTAATGTTACAAAACTACATCTACGAGCACACTGATCACATGCTATAAATCGTGACGATATCTTTCTATAAATTGCCAATACTCATTCGGGTCTTGTGTTCACTTGTGAATACACACTTTGATTGTTACGCTAGGCAAATCAGTTAATGTTACAAAACTACATCTACAAGCAACACTGATCACATGCTATGAATCGTGCAATTTGTCGTGTATCTCAAGGTATTGCTGCTATATTCTGTAAAACAAACCACCACCACAAGCGTTAGTATAAGGCCACTGGGAAGAATAATCTACTATACTCTATACCTGGAAACACATAAAAATATACCATATTACATTCCTCCCTTCCTTGACCTACACTAACCCATGAATTTATTTGTGCTTAGTACAGCTGCGCTTACTACCTGCTGGCAAAATGTTTTTATTGCTGACCTCACAATGGTGTTTGGGAAAATTCACAGTATATTGGGATTTACCATATGGCAGTTCCTGTTCTTCATCCCAAAACTGTTCCTCATCATCTTGCGACAACTCATGAAAGTTAGCTTCTGAAGAAGTATCATCTTCCTCCCCATATAGGTGAGGAGTGAAATTCTCAATTGTGCAATTTAAAGGAGATTAATAGTTCAGAGTATATAAGGACGTGTCATACCTTAATCTCTTCGTTTATATATGCCTTCAGTGAAAAAATATATATTTTAAATCATAATGAGGGACAATGATGTTTTAGACGCCCGTTTCCATGGCAACTGAATTTCACCACTGTTAATGAGGACTATTTCTATTATTAGAGATATCTCTGTCATTTTTTATCCGATTTTGATGATATTAACGCCAAATGAAAGCTTAAGGAATAAAGTTTATGATTGGTTCAAAATTATGCAAATTAGCTCATTTGCATATCAACTGTGACGTCATAACCATAATTTATATCTAATTTTTGATGTTTTTTAATAATACATACAATATAAACTGCTATTTAATTAAACTGTCATGGTAGAGTTATAATATTTCACTATAAAACAGTTCTAGGATATCATAGCTTCCCAATGATATATAATATGAGGCTTATTAGCTTAAATTAATACAATTATGGCATTCTCAAGTTGCATATTCAAAATTCAAAATGTATACAAATTATACCGTAAATGCAATGAAAAATGTTAAATGAAAAATATGGTTTCTGTATGAATTTAATTTAATTTTAATGTATGAATTTAATTTGTGGTTTTTAATTTATAATGTAAGTACCAAATGAGAGCTACTACTCTTGATGCCTGTTTATAAATCATTAAAAATGATCATGATTGAAACACTCGTTTCCATGGCAACCATATTTCTTTAATATTAAATATATTCTTGCTTTTAAGTTGCTTAGTAATCACATTTTAATCATATTGAAACCAAGTGAAAGCTAATCAAAAAAGGAATCTTTTTTTTGTTTGTTTTTGTTTTGTTGTTCTGTTGTTGCCAAGACAACAATCAATAATACTGGTGACATCACAAACAAACTGCAAATCATGCATGACTTCAGACTCAGGTTTTTAGGTTCACTGGCTGCAGAAGGGAAATGTTTCACCAGGATATTTTTCTTATTAAAAGTAAGCTATTTTGTTCATACTCTTTTGATTAAGTAATTTATTCTTTTTAAAATGTTCATTTATAAACTGTTAAAATATAGAGGCCAAAGTATCAAAGGATAATATATTTAAAGAAAATATTGATGAACCAACAACATAGAGTATTTCCCTTTTAATTTTCTTCTTCCTGTTTAATAGGATTTGTCATACTTTGTTATCAAGTCATAACTAGAATGCCTATTTGAAAGACAACAGAATCTTGTTCTGATGAATCTTGTTATTACTGATTTATTCATCTTTCAGATCCAACTACGTCCCCAGCACTCCCAATGCCTGTAACCTGGTAACGTGTGAATGAAAATGAGTTTAAAATTCATTAACAATGAAAGATATGACTCGAATCTATAGTAACATTATAATATCCTATTGAAATCGCAAATATGGACACGAACTATCGCACCCCCTTGAGGGCAATGAAGCGATGCCACTATGATTCGCAAGAAAACATACCTCTTAAAAGGAAAAGATTGAGAACACATCTTCAGACTGATTTTTCGAAATGCATATTTTGTCAAAAAAGAAAATATAAAGGCAGCAGTACCACTCACAGGATTGAAGATGATAAATCTGGCCAAACTATTAAGGATACAGCTGTCATGAGAAATGATGAAGCAATGATGTTCAGAGTCTTAGATGTTGATCTTGTCCACAATAAAGCTTGCTATCATAGCAATTGCAGATCAAGTTATGTCGCCAGAAGAAATCTGCAGTTTTTGGGAAAGAAAGAAGAAGGAGAAGAAAATAATGATATTCACAAGGGTTCCTTTGAAGAACTTTTAAAAGACATTAATCAGCGATTGATGAATGACAGCGAAGTCTTCAAAATGACTGATCTAGTGAATAAATATCAATCATATCTCCCGGATGAGTCACATAGTTATAGCTCCTCAAATTTATACAGAAAACTAAAGAAACACTATGGAGATGAAATAGTTATCCAAACGAGACAAGGCCAAGGTATGACTTCAATAGTCAGAAAAAGAGATGTAGATATTTTGAAAGCATTCAATAATTTGAAACTAGAAGAATCTGAGGCCATTACAGAAAACACGAAAATGTCAAATCTTCCAGATTCCGCCATTACTGAACACAAGCGAAAGTGTAGTGTTATACACGAGGCTGTGGCATTGATAAGAGAAGAAGCACAGATATACACAACCATCGATGTCTTTCCCACTGTAGACCAGATGAAAATGGACAAAGTTGAAGAAAATCTACCACCACTTCTTAAAACAATGATGCTCTGGCTTGCTGATCCAAAAGCTCACACTTTGAAATCAAATGATTGCACCAACCATGTATTGAAGCGCAAAGCTTTAACACTTGCTGAATGTCTCCTGTCAAACATGCGCAAAAGCAACATAACTCCATTTACTCTAGGCCTAGCTGTACAGCTACATCATACTTATGGCAGGAAGGAACTCATTGATAACCTGCATTCTCATGGATTTTGTGTGAGCTATGATACCTTACGCCGCTTCTCGACTGCTATAGCGCAGCATGAATCAGATCAAATGACAGATGGAGTGTATGTCCCACCAAATATAAAACCAGTGTCAGATGGGGGAAATATTATACATGAGGGTGATGACAACATAGATATAAATGCGGAGACCATTGATGGAAAAAATTCCTTCCACTCAATGGCCAGGGTAGTATTTCAAGATCAAGATCCAAATGATGTTTTTGAACACATCACAATGAAAATAAATCCATCATCCGCAAGAGCCTTGGCTGTTGATGATAAGAAAAAGTCTGATCTGACTTTGCCTTTGCCATATACAAAGCCTATTACCCGACCAAGCCCTCCAAAATATCCAGAAGCCAAAGTTTCCATCAGAACAATGATAGAGAAACCAAACTATAATTCACTGTCATCTGATATAGGGTGGATACTGCTACGCATGGGGTGCAGAGGAGCTTTGCCTATGATAAATACTATTCATGAAGCTCAAATTATCCCT